TCTAGTTCAGTTCTAGTTCAGTTCTAGTTCAGTTCTAGTTCAGTTCTAGTTCAGTTCTAGTTCAGTTCTAGTTCAGTTCTAGTTCAGTTCTAGTTCAGTTCTAGTTCAATTCTAGTTCAGTTCTAGTTCAGTTCTAGTTCAGTTCTAGTTCAGTTCTAGTTCAGTTCTAGTTCAGTTCTAGTTCAGTTCTAGTTCAGTTCTAGTTCAGTTCTAGTTCAGTTCTAGTTCAATTCTAGTTCAGTTCTAGTTCCGTTCTAATTCAGTTCTAGTTCTGTTCTAGCTTGCTCAGTTCTAGCTCAGTTCTGTTTGTTCTAAAATTAGAGATTAGTACTTTTAATTCTTAACAAAAGCTTTCTGGATAATTGTCATTTGTCTCTACATAGTTAAATATCAAAATACTTAAATCAATTAAAAATTCCAAACAAACTCATAGAATCTGTTCTTTAGAGTGACATAGCCAATGAGAACCATAAGAACTTTTCCACTGAAAGATTGATTTGATTCTAAATTACTCCACAAGAATTTTTTAGAAACCAGTTCTTCGACTGTTTTTCAAAACTAAGAAAAATTATTTGATCTCTAAAGATTCCTTCTTTTAGTGTATTAATTCAAATTGAAAATATTGATAAAAGAAGAATTTCCTTCTATAGAACGTATGACGAATCTAAAACAAACTTAAACATAACCAAGTTGCAACTTCGAACAAAGCTCATTTATACAAGAAAACATATCTCGACTCTTATAACCTTTTCACAGAAACAGTTCTATAGGTGATTTGCGAACAAAATTATTATTTTTAACAGCAAACTATAACAATTACAAAATACTTATTGCATTCAAAAACATCAACATATGAAGCCATTGCAGTTTTTGAAGAAAAATGCTTTATAAACATAACTTGTAATAGGAAATCGTGGTTTTCTATAGAAATACCTAGCAAAGTTTTTCTTAATAAATTCTTCTCTAAAAACAGAAACAATCACTTACCTCTACTTCACCCAATGTTTGTGTCCACATGTATTTGTCGAGTGTGCAACCGTTACCAGAATTTGGTAACAATTTACCAACTTCACTCTTTTCAGAATCATCTTCTACTTTGTCGATAGGCTTAGATTTCTCTTCCTCAATAACCACGGGAGCAGTGCCATCAGCGGTGGCAGCTTCTTGTAAAAGTTTTTGACGTTTTCTAAATACATTGAAGAAACACATTAAAGAACAAATTCATTTAGAAAACAATAAATTTATAAATATTCACTTGTTCTCTTCCTCCTTGATTATTTGAGCAGCTTCCTCATCGGTAATATCACAAATTTTACTTTCAGACATTTCTCTTTCACGGGCAGCTCTTTGTTGACGTTCTTTTTCTTCTTTGAGTTTTTGTGCCTGTTCTTGCTTTTTCATTTTTTCTTTGTGTTCACCCATGGCCACTTCAGCTTCTTTGCGTAAAATATCCATGATAAGTTTCTCCCAATCGCCTACATAGAAATCACTTCTACGTCTCAAGAAACCAGCAAAAGTTTTAAGAAACTGCGGCAAAACCAAATAGAAATTTATTAATTTTATTCCCTTGAAAAAAACACAAATAACAAATTCTACTTACATCGGGCATACCACCTGGATGTTTTTGGGCCATGGCCAATAAAATATTATCGTATTGTTCCTCTTGGCTGGACATTTTGTTTATGTTTTAATTAATCTTTTCGTAAATTGAAATGTTTTCAATAAATTGTTTCGATTTTTCTAGAAATGTTTGTTAAAAGAAAACGCTTTCTATGATTCTCACACCGGTATGGACAATGAAACGTGCAAAAAATGTTTTTCGTTTTGTCATCTGTTTGAAAAAAAAAAAATCATTTGTTATGACAACTAGTTGTGAAGTAAATAAACGAGAAAAAATTGCTAGGCAACCCTGTTGTTTAATGTCAAATTGGAAAACAGTGTTGGTAAGTGGTTATATTTATGAAACGAGTAATCGTTTGGCTAGAGATTGTTCTTTGAATGAAAAATAAGGAATAAATTTATTTGAATTAACGATAATACTAGATTGAATTAAGATTTGTGGTATTAAGTTAGTTAATATTAACCGATTTAAATGTTATGTTAACCCTCATAAAAAAATACTCCGTGTTTGTTAAAATGTTTCCCGAAATATTTTGGGTGTTGACATTTCTTGTAATAGACCGTTTTTAAAAAACACTTTTTAAATTATTACTATGATAATTTTCATAAAATTATGTAAACTTATTGTCAACTGTTGTAATAATAATGAAAAGTTTTTATTTTACATCTCCAATAAAATGTTCAAGGTGGCAGCTCTATGTCAGAACCGCAAAAGCGCCATCTGGTGGCTAATATATGAAATTGATGAATTTCCGGTTTGTATAGCTACTAAAACGTTATTAATTAAATTTCCGGTTAATTGTTCTCAAAAATAATAAAAACGAACATGATTTTTCGAAATTTTGAAACATTCGTTCAAAAGTTTGTTTAAAAATTGTTCATGTATACATACATATATTCCGATTTACACAACAAAACTTTTTTAATCTACAAAGAAGAATTACAAAAACAGATTATAGATGTTTTAAGGGGAGTGCTGTTCTTACGAATTTGAGTGCAAAGAACAATGTTTCTTCTAAAGCAAACAAGGAGAAACTTCTTGATAAAGAGGCGTCAAGAAGGAGCTGTACGAATTGTTATAGTATAATAAAGGCTCCTAGTTTTGATGGCACTACAACATCTAATGTGTTTAAGTTCCAGTTTGATACAGTTGCCTCAATTATGCATTAAAAAGGCAGTCTTGGAGATTTTAAATAACAAACGAAATAGAGCCAAAACATGATGTTATAACTGGGAAAACGAACCAGGTCTGATGTATCACCGGGAGAAAACCAGCAGGCGAATCATCCATTATCAAAAGAGCCACCTATGAAACGAATTAGCTATGCTGTACTTAATCTGGCCTCCACATCCGACAACACAACAATCTCTTAATGGTTGTGGATGCATCAACGGTCGGAAGCACAGGGGAGTTGCAATCTATCTCAGATACGATTTGGTAAGGAAAACGATTGAACCATTATGCTTTGTAGGCCTGCGGATCACTTCTGGAGAGCCCGCCACAGTCCATGACAAAGTATGTTTATGTGAAATTAACAATCGAAAAATTAGCGTCAATTATTTATATGTTGTTGCCGATATTGTGGACGAAGTAATTAGATTAGTCATGGTATTATTTTGCATATGGGACGAAAAGTTATGATTTGGCGAAATACATTTTAACGTTGGATATACAAAAAAGGCCCAAGTAAGAAATCTAATTGAAGTAGAACTTCTAAAGTAGCCACCGCCATCGTCAGAGGTTTTGGTGTGGGTCAATGAAGATTGTCATGTATATTCCGGAAACTTCTATCTGTTAAAATAACATTTGGTATGGCAACATTAAGTATGAGTACAGGCACAGGGTGGTCATTATAAAAAATAGAGCTTTCATAACTGTGTCGATTAGACGAAGCTAGCTGTATCTGAAAGGTGTAGCTAGAATGTCCTAGAAATATCTAAAAGATGACGCTTAGATATAAATAGCGCCGTCAAGAACCGAAATGAGTCAGTCTGTTGTAAAACTTCGTTGAGGTAAGTTAATTAACTCAATTGTGCTTTCGTGTATTGAAGATAAATAGACCGTCTAACAGTTTACCTTATAAGTTGTAGGGTGACCGATTAATCGGCATTTACAATAAACCGGTTTTCGAACAGTTGACATTTGAAAAAAACATTGATATCTTTGGTCTTTATACTCTACACCACTATAGTAGGGAGTGTATTAGTAATATTGCTCCTATAACCACCTTAAAGTATACCAATCGGCTCAAAATCACTTTCTGAGTCTATTAAGCTATGTCCGTCCGTCTGTCTGTGTGTCAATGTTCATTTTCATTTGTTCATTTCGGCTAGCCCCCATACAACCGTACCGCCCAAATAGGAGTTTTGAGTTTATTTATATGTTAAATGTTGTGGAATCTATACAAAAATCGGCAAATCTTGTTTTTATATAAGTTTAAATGAAATTGCCGATTTTTTTTAATGATTGGGCCTCATTTGATCTTAGGCCCCAGTACAAAGTACTTGAAGGTTGAAAATTCACCTTTAAACACTAGTATCGCGATGAAATTCTGCATAAATTATTATGCGAATAGGACCATATTTAACTTTGCACCCTCTTTCAGAAAATCACGTTTTTGGCATCAAATATTTCGGAATTAAGGTAAAATGCTTTATTATTAGAAAAATAATCCACATTTTCATATGGTCGGTCATGCCCGATTATACATTCTTACTTGTTTTCAAATTCAGAAAAAAAACTGTTAAACGTTTTTCCATTATTGGCAAAATTATTGCCTTGATAGTTTCATGTTTTAGGTTAAAATATCTCGAAGAAGAAAGGAGATAAAATTGAGGTTAAACCTAGACACCTTGGACTTATAAATGACGCAACAAATTGTATGAATTAAAATGTCTTTGCGCTGTTATACCGTCTCAATCAAGATTTTTCGATTTTAAGGACACTATGGAGAAATTGTAAGGCCAGGTTCAGATTCAGTGCAGCTCAATCCTTTTGGATTATTGGGCTGTTTTATTAAAAGAACAAGAAGCTTTTAGTTTTTATATTTTATTAAATGTGGTCAGTATCTAAATGAAATACTACATGTTCTACCTAAATAAAAAAATCTATAACTATAAATTCAAATACCTACCTTAAGTACAACAACAAAAACTTGCTTGCTGCACCACTATTTATAAAAACAACATGCGAATGCAAAAATAATAATAACAAAAAGTTTACCCCGAAACCATTGAATTCCTACACATGAAACAAAACACCCCAAATTGTGAAATTCTGCCCGCAAATGAGAGCAAGAAACGGCGCAACTGGTAACGCTGTTTGCGCAATTGTCTGGAGTGCACTTTTCCCATAAAGAGCTTCGAATATTCACTCAGTTTTGTTCGGTCTTCTGAAGGAATCAGTCGTTTAAAACGGTTTCCATCCTCAAAGCTTAATACAAATATATTTTTGTTACTGTCAACTGTGAATAGTGAATTTTCTAAAAAAGGAAAAAAAATCTTTTACTTATACACAAAAAATCCAAGTCCATATAAAGAAGTTGTTGAAAAAAAAAGTGTTAGAAAAAGTTAATTAAAGTGTGGAAAAACAGCTAAAGTTGGTAAAAATCTAGAAGATTTTTTGTGTTAAACTGGAAAAGACTAATCCATAAAAAAAGTAATACAATTAATTTAAGCTTTTTTGTAATTTTATGGTTAATAAATGTTTTAAATGCTTTTTTTTTGTGCCTGCTATAATGGTATAGAGAATTTTCTAAACTTTTTTTTTGTTGAGACAACAAAAATTTAATTAGAAATTGGCAAATTATAGTTATTTGCCGTAATAAATTTATAGCATATTTTGTTTATTTAAAAAATTAATTTATTATTTGTGTAGACAAAATAAATTTTCCACTACCGCTATTAAATGTCGTCGTTTTAATCAGGAATCCCTTTGCTGGGGGTATTTTTTCTTCTTTCGTTGGCTGCTGCTGCCTGCTTAAAAATCGATAAATTGTTTCCACACTTTTTGTTGTTGTTGTTCTTATATGTTTTTTCGTTCTCCACCACTTCTGTTCGTGTTCTACTATTGTTGTTGGTAACTTTAGAGATACGACATACATTCGCACATTAATACGATGAAATTAAATAGTAGTGCCATCTCTGTGCATTAAAATACAACAAAAATAACAAAATTACTTGCGTACAACAAACAAACATACATTTTTGCGTACATACTAACACATAAACACGAATATTTAACCACCACCATACATACCGCTATGAGAGAAACTTATAAACAAAATTCTTGTACATTGTAAATGGGGGAAGGACAACCAACCATGTGTTCGAAGCAAAAAGAGTTGGGGTACGTTTTTTTTTGTGTGTATTTTTTGAATAAAAGCTAAATATCATAAAAACGTGCTTTTCATTGTTTGTAACTGATAAATTAGGCAATGGATGGGGAAAGGTTCAAAGGCTCCAAATATTTGACAATAAAATTATGTAAATTTTGTTTTCCTGTTTAGTTAAGGACATAAGATTTGGAAATGTTATCAATTTATCTTTTTGTAATATACATAAGTCTTTGTTTTAGAGTAAAAAATTCAAAGAACATTATGAAATTATTATATAATATTCAGGAAATTCTGAATTATTGAGAGAATACATTATATCAAAAAGTTATATGAAAAAAAATTTAATTTAATTTGGACCCTAGAATGTCTCCGTCGCATCAGGTTTCGAGATAAAGTTTGAAGAAACTTAGGTCTTGCTTAATTCGACAAAATATTGGAATGAACATATTTACATTTTTCAGACGATAGAACAAATTTTAAGAAAAAATGTGAAAAGTTCTCAAATATAGCGAAAGAGGGGTTTCAAACTGAATTGATTCAGTGGATTTTGTGCCTGATTTACTAATTGTATATTCCCCGTCGTCCAATGTCCGAAAGTGTGCGACTTCATACCAAAATATCAACAACTCAAGCGTTAGAGACTAGATTTTGCTCATTTTATGGGCTGAAATGACAGATAAATATTAACTGGGATAATAAAATTTTAACCCAGAGCTGCGCTAAATCCAAATCTGCCCTCAGAAATTCTCCAACACACAAGGTTTTTCGAGATATTGTGTCCTAAATATGGAAAAAACTCATTTCGCCATATTTGACACGTTATAACAGAGCAAAGATTTATAAAATTGTTTAAGTCATATGAAAGTCAAATCTGTTGACTTTAAAAGAATGTTTTAACCTTTGTTATATCTTCTTCGAGATATATTAACCTACAGCTTGGGTTATGATATCTCGAAAAAGGGAGCAGATACAACAGAGGTTAAACCTTTATTTCAAAGTCGATAGATTAAACTTTAGGATGATATCACGTACTTTGTAAATAACGTCCTAAAAAACGAGAGTTTTCAAACTTTAGACAGAGATTCGGTTTAACGTAGTTTAAACCTATAGAAATAATTTTACGACATCCATGAGAAATGTATATAGACCAATATCAAAGACCATACTTTTGAGCAGTTCGAGGGAACAGTCCCGAACTAGCTATTTAATCTATCCTTAGACACACACTTTACTAGCTGTTGTAACATGTGCTTGTTCTAGGAGGATGTCAATCGCCACTTCATATATAACAAAAAGACAGTTGGAAAGCTAGTCCAAAGTAGTCAATTCGTGACAATGAACTTTTTTCGCTTAGCTATATTTAAAGTCTCCATATTAGTTGGGTACTATAAAGTAACTACTGTCTACGCTATCGCTTACAAAAGGGACATTAAAGTGACGTCTTCACTTTAGTTTACTCTTTGTAAAAACGAATTAGAGCTAAGCGTTAGAGAAAATTTCTGTCATTTTCAGATGCATTGATTCTTTATCGAAATTCCACAGTTGGACTTCACTTTTTTGCGTCATTTTAAACACACGCCTAAGTCGATAAGTCATTTAACAAACAGAGTCGCAGTATCATATTATTAATTTAGATTATCTGTCTATAATGTAGTGTCCATTTTGTAAGCAAGAGCTTAGGCTATATTTTGAGTTTCTATATTACTTGGGTACAGTAAAGTGACTATTGTCTCCGCTCACGCTTACAAAAGGGACATTAAAGTGACGACTGTCTTTACTCTAGTTTACTCTTTGTAGAGGCGAATTAGAGCTAAACAGGTGCTTAGACGTTAGAGAAAATTTCTGTCATTTCGCGGATGCATTGACTCTTTATCGAAATACTAGGTATTGAAAATTTGCATTTAATAAAATTTGAAAAATTCCACAATTGGGCTTCACTTTTTCGCGTCATTTTAAACACACGCCTAAGTCGATAAGTCATTTAGCAAACAGAGTCACAGTATCATATTAGTCATTTAGATTAACTATCTATATAGGTAAAGTCAGTAAAATTTTTATCAGTCTACATGCTACGTAAATGCAAAAAATTTCTAATTTTTCCACTTGCAATTTTGACAAAAACACGCCTTATGAGAAGTTATTTGAGTAGTTTGAAATTGCTATCACAACTAAGATATTTAATGCAAATAATTTTAGAAGAATTGAAAAGAATTGCTGCATAAAATTAATTCAATACCATTTTCATTTTATTAATTTAGAAATGAATAGAAATTTGTTTATTGTCTAGTATTAGTTTATTTTTTTTAATAATAGGAAAATAACAGTTATTTTGACAATTTGTTAATTTATTTAATTGATTTGTTTTCGTGTGATAATAAATAAGAATTTGAATACACATGTTCGATTATTCAATTAAATTTTATATTTAATTTAACAAACGTATCCTCTGCATGTTTCCTAGAGGTCATTTAAATAGAATGAAGTTTAGTTTAATACATAATTAAAATCATGTGAATTTTATTTTGTGGAAATTACAATGGGATTGGACAACTAGATGGATCAATTAAACCATATAGTAGCTGGTTCACTCCAAAGTTTTCTTCAGGATATCTGATACATTTAAAAATTAGGTAAAATAATTGTATCTGGTAAAGCGTATGATTAGAGTTTTTTGGTTCGAAACGATTTTAACCTATTTTCAAACTTTAAATGGATAAGAACCTAACGTTTCTATCTTTGAAAGTTGTGATATAATGCATCTTTTAGTAAACAGAAGTGGCACTATGGGATGAACGATGACCAAGGTTATAAATGCAAATTGAATCCTATACCAGTTTATTACTTGCATACTGTATTAAAGTATTTTTTCAGAATAAACTTTTGACAATATAGCGCAGCTGTTACACCCATGATTAGGATTCATTCCCACTCATTTGCAAAATATAAGTTTATAGCACGTTTATTACTGATTTTTTACTTTTTTATACTCGGTCATCATAGTATTCAATGTGCATCAGACATGGATAACTGAGATTTTGAAATGGCACAGAACTCAATTTAAATGGTACTTTTTAAAAGATTGAAAGTACTAAATTATTTTTAACAATTATTCACATATAACGAACGAAGCGTAAATGTATTTCAGATTAAAACTTATACGATCTTTTTCCCGATTCAAAACAGAATTGGAGTTTAAAAAGGAATCCCAACTTGTGCTAGGTTCAGTCATCAATTCTTTTTAATTTTTATTTTGCTAAATTTTCGGCGCATCCTGAAGGAGTATCGCATATGCAAAGAGAGAGGTTATATCGGAAATATAATAGAAATATTCCTAAAAATAACGATACGCAGTTGAGGTAGGTAGGTAGGTCGATAGGAGGATGTATACTACATCAAATCCAAAGAAATACACCTAGGCCACTATCGGGCCTGTTGTGCGCTCCTTATCATGAAAAAAGGGGGGAACTGAATGAATTATTTTTCAGTGTTCATAAACTCAGTTTCCTGAACGTAATTCCTAAGAATCTTCCAATCAGTGTTAGTCAGGAATGTTATTTCCGGAATAACATCACTTCCAAGGTACTTGGATCTAACTTCGACGAATGCCTAGCAGTGGCAAAGAAAATGCTCCAGAGTTTCACTGTCCTCTTCACATGCTCTACATTCGTCTGAATCCGCACGTCCAATTTTGCATAGATGTGCTCGTAATCCTGTGTGTCCACTCAGAATACGTACCATCATACTAACTTCAGACTTGCTCATTTTGAGAAGATTTTTCGTCTTGCTGGTAATGACAAAATAAAAATTCGAGCGTTTCACTGCCCTCTACATTCGCCTGAATCCGATCGTCTAATACTAACCACGGACTTATTCCTATGGTGTAGAACCATGTGTTTTATTTTAATGAAATCTTTATTAACAACCGAGCGCACACAGCCATATATGTTCGTTTCAAATTCAGTCCTCGTTGCGTCGAACGGTTTTGCATCAATCAGGTTAACTTCCTCGAGTTTGCCTCCATTTAAAGAAAGAACATTCGCTCTTTCGCTGACGATTATTCTCGAGAGGTCTGGTACTCATATTCAGTTACGACTCTCTTATACAGTTATGGCTCTCTTATAGTCCAATACGGTCTTACATTTAACCTTATCAGCTGATATCGCCATAATTGGCTTCTAGCTGCCAGAAAATATGTATATTAAACCAGAAGAATCTGAATAAACAAAAATACTGGTACAATTACAAACGCAAAAGTACAATTTTCAATATTATTTATTACAATTAGTACTTTTTTATTTCGCATCTCTGTTGCAAAGTTTAT